GCATGTCCCGCTCACTGCTAATAGCCACAGTCCCTAACCTAGACTTTCGACTTGGTGTATATCGTATGCTGAGAAACCCGACGCACTGCTCTTGTTCCTGCCAGCTGGAATGCTCTACTGCTTTTGCATGTGCACTTCCCTCCCGCCACCAAACGGCCACAAAAATGCTATCTGCAACACATAAAACACACCACGATGATGAACACCGATCTGGTGTTGGTCCAATTGGAGTCGCCGAACCGGTCTGACATCGCTGGAGAACATCGACATTGCAGAGACACAGCGGGCAGTGAAAGAAGAAGAAAAGAAGAAAGAGGAGAAAAGAAGAACAGGGGAGGGGGTTGGGATGCAACCGGACTAAACAGAAGGCGCTGGCGCGGGGACAAGTTACTGGAAAAAATGGTTGCTTCTAGGGTTAAGAGGGAGGAAAAGAAGAAAAGGTGAAAAAAATGAAAAGAGAGAAAGGAGGAGAGAGAGAATAGAGATTGAGGAGAGAGAGGGGGGAGGGTCGGGGTCACTTATCTGGTCGCCGTCGCCGAAGGGTTCGGCGGCAACATTAACGGTCTGACGTACGTTTTTAAACGTTAAAATCCGATTTCGAGGAAAGAGAGAGGAAAACGAGTATTGTTCGTTAATTTCAATATTTAATATTCCATCCGTCCAAAAAGGTGGTCAAAGATAAAGAGTATAAATAACATGTTAAAGAAATACATGTGGCTGCTGGGATTCGAGCTCAGGTCTCCACGGCCACAACGTGGAATTCTCACCAATAAACTACAGCCACATTATTGTTATTAAATTTCAAACAATATTATTGAGAAAAAAATATAATAAAATTTAAAATAAAAAATATTTTAAAAAGTAATAAAATATATATCTTCTATTATATTACAAAAAAAATTAGCACACAAAAATATTAAACAAGTAATATGCTAATAATTTCTATTAACAATGTAATTATACTAAATATTAGATAATATAATAAACAAATATACATAACAAAAAAGTTATTTGATGACTACATAAGCCCTTTAATTTAGTAGAGATTTTATTCATTAAAATTCAGACAATATTTATTCTATTTATATAGAATAGGAGAAGCAACCCATTGTGATAATTCCAAATGTAACATCAAAAAATTTACAAAGTGACAAATTTTAGGACAAAGCTCCAACAATTTTTTATATTCAAAAATTATTTTTTAAAAAAAAGAAGATAAAAACAGACACAACGAAATTACCTACCTAAAATTAACTACTCAAATGGGTGATATAATAAAGATAAATACATAACAAAAACGTTATTCGATGACTACATAAGTCCCTTTAATTTAATCGAGGATTTGTTCATTAAAATTCAGACAATATTATTGAGAACAATCGAATAAAATTTAAAATAAAAATTATATCTTCTATTATATTACAAAAATAAAGTAGTAGAGAAAAATATTAAATAAAGTAATATGCTAATATAAATTTCTATTAACAATGTAATAATACTAAATATTGGATGATATAATAAAGAAAAATACATAACAAGAAAGTTATTTGCTGCCTGTATATGTCCCTTTAGTTTAATAGAGAATTCATACATTAAAATTTAGATAATATTATTAATAACAACATAATAATATTATTAATAACAACAAAATAAAATTTAAAATAAAAATATTTCAATAGTAATAAATTATATATCTTCTCTTATATTACAAAAAGAAAGCGAGCAGACAAAAAATAATAAACAAAGTAATATACTAATAAAATTTTCTATTAACAATGTAATAATACTAAACGTTGGATACTATAATAAAGAAAAATATAGAACAAAAAAGTTATTCACTAACTATATAAGTACTTTTAATTTAATAGAGATTTTATTATTGTGTATATCGTATTGACAAATAAGATGACAATTAAAATTTATTAAAGCAATACGATGTAATAGGATCAAACAAGCCCGATCATAATTTAGTTTAATTAATATTTTTTTTAATATTGATCGCGCATCGCACGGATACCGGTACTAGTAATAATAATAACCGATCATTACTTTCAAAAGAATTTTGGTGGACTAACCCCAAGTGCCTAAAAACATTATACCTTCAATTACTATCCACATTGTATATCCAGCATCATCTATCTTATTTTCCTACAGCATGGAATGTCTTAATCAACACTTGTTTAGTCAGTATTTATCACGAGATGTTCCGACTGACTTTTCCCCTCGAATTAGATTGATTGCTAATCGTCAGGATTAAGGGTTAGTAACATCAAAATTAGTTTGTAATCATTATTGTTATAATGATTTGATCCATTCAGAGATTAGAAAGGACATAGTAGTTTGGAGTTGAGCGATAAAAAAGTACATACTATCTTCAACAATTAGTTTGTATAAATCAGGTTGCTTATGATATAATTACAAGCAAAACTTGTACAATAAACATTAATTGATAGCATGGTAAAAAGATAATAACCAACATGCTTATCAGATTGAATCAGAGGGTTTCTTGTGTTCAAACAAACTGGGAATACGTGACAAACGATGAAGTGCACAAGAATATTGTGATATCTGATTTGTTGTTTAAAATAAATAAATAAAAAACTGGCAAGCACAAATGTGTACCAACACATTTATTCTACCCGCCCTTCATTTATACAGCTATTCTTACAAAAGTCTTCCATACATATTACAACATGATTTGGGATTGTTTTAACCAACTAAATATAACAATTTTTGTATCAGTCCTGAATCTCTTATAAAAAATTAATCAGAACTTTAAAGTTATTATATCTGCTCCAATGAAAGAGTAATAACCAATTTAGTAGACAAAACTTAGATGCTGCAGTGAATCCAGACCTTGGCTATTGACTGTAATAATCTTTTTAGCTGCTGGAACTCAAAGCAACTGAGAGGAGGACCTTACCAAGCTTTGCTAAAAGTAAACAAATGGGACCAAACGTGCTGGCCTTAATATGATCACCACACATCCCTGAGATATCTTCCATCCATTTGGAGTTTCTTCACAATAGCCTCAGCTTTGGTTGAGTCGACCTTATCCTGGATTTGATTTAAACAAAATAACTAAATAAGATACAGCTAAAGCAACAAGAATAAGTTCCTGCCTATCAGGACAATGAGATATCAAATCATCCATCATTTAACAGACAGATAAAATTGCTGGATTTACAGTAAATGATGTATTCAGGTCCAGCAGATGAATAAAGCCATATACCTGCTCCTGGACTATGGTATGGAGCGTACGATGTACATCCCTGGCCATCCCTTTCGCATCCCCACATACATATAGATATCCCTCCTGGGAGATTAAACTCCAAACATGGGAAGCCTGCTCATACGTCATAAGTTGCATTAGAATCACTTAGCTTATTACAATAGAGCTCAGGTCTTATTTTATCAGAACTNAACATGGGAAACCTTTTCCAGCATTTTATGTTGAACATACTCTTTCTGGGGTCCTTCCCTTGAAAATGCAATAATCAGCTCTGATATTACACCTTGATCCACAAAACTCTGAAGCTCCTCCTCATAAATAAAATCCTAAAACCAAATATCAATGTAAGGATATCTACCAGAGGGTATCACTTATCAGACATCCAAATATATAAATTCGGAATGAATCAGTCACAACCAACCATTCTACGATTCCTACAACCAAAAAACAACAAAGCAGGACCAAGTTGAGCCCCATCTTCCTTCAATGCTGCTCTTTCCTGAAAAATCCATCCGTCTTAGAGCACTTGAACCAGAACAAGCAAAATTTTTTTTTTTTTTTTAAAAACAAACAAAAGCAACTGTCTCACCTGCAGGAAT